ATTAGCTGATAACTAAAACCAACGTTATCTAATATAGGTTGGCACTAATCCTTTTATACTTCATCAACAATAATCATAGAAACTTATGAAAATTAAAACCACTTAAGGACCATCAAAATGGCTCAGTGGGTAAAAGCATTTGCTGTGTAACCCTGGTAACCTAAATTCCACCCCTAGAAACTCCATAAAAAACCAGATGTGGTGGCTCTCATCTCTAATTCCAGCACTCTACTACAACAAGAGACAGACACAAGAGAACTAGAGGGAAGCTCACATACATCACAAAACCATCAGAAATAACAAGAGATTCTTCCTCAAAACACAGGGCAGAAGGAGAGAATCAAACTCTGAAAAGATGCTCTCTGATCTCTGCTTGTGCACCCACACTCACAAGCATAAACACACAAAATAAATAATCAAGTATTTAAAGAGAAAAGCCACTTTTATATAATTATATGTAAGTCTGACAATGCCACAGGGAAGGTCATTGCTTTGTATGGAACTAAATTAGAAGTCATTTTTAAGAAACACAGGCACTTCTTTCAACTAACAAGTTTTGGTTTGGTGAGAAGCAGGAAGAAAGTAAAATGCCCAAAATAAAATACAAGGCTGAGAACGCAGCCCAAAAGAGTGCTTCCCTGTCACACTCAAGAGCCTGGTTTGATCCCCAGCACCACAAAAATAAGCAAACAAACAAACACAAATACAAATTAAACTAACATGTAAGACTGAGGGAGCAAAAGCCTTTGTCACTAAATAATTTATCATGTACACAGTGTTCTGCCTGCAGGCCAGAAGAGGGCGCCAGATCTCACTACAGATGGTTGTGAGCCACCATGTGGGTGCTGGGAATTGGACTCAGGACCTCTGGAAGAGCAGTCAGTGCTCTTAACCACTGAGCCATCTCTCCAGCCCCTGATTTTTTGGTTTTGTTTTGTTGTTTTGGTGTTGTTGTTGTTTTTTTTTTTTTTTTGAGACAGGGTTTCTCTTCATAGCCCTGGCTGTCCCAGAACTCAGAGATCTGCCTGCCTCTCTGCCTCCTGAGTGCCAGGATTAAAGGCATGCACCCCACTGCCTGGCTGAATTCTGTACTGTGTCTACAATTAATTAGCTGGGAGAAGACAAATCACAAAACAGATATTCAACAGCAAAGCTGCATGAGTAGGTGCCAAAATAAGTGGCATGGCCAGTAATAACATTAATTCATTTACTCCATCTTTACTTAGTGCCTAGAACTTACCCATCAGAAACCAATATTCAAACTCTTCTCTTAAATGTTAAAAAAAAAAAAAAAAAAAATTGGCCTTCAGCTAGTGTTGTGTCTCAGTGGCAGAGGGCTCCTGGATCTCCACAACCAAAAGTAAAGAAAAATATTGGCCTTTAAAGTAGGAAAGGTGTAGCCCTGTAAAGGAGACATCTCACACTGCAAAAACACCAACACTAACATCACAGGAGATACTCCAGGATGTAGAACCAAAGCTTGTAGACTGTCATGCAAAAGCCCTTCACACGGTAAGAAAACACCCTCCCTCAGCCACCTTCCCAATTATCTGAGGTGGACTGGAGTCTGACTTCTTCATTCCTCTGTGGTATACTATACATCCACACACTATACATAGCCTCGGAATATGCACATTTCATACACCTTGTCTTTTCACATGGAGGTATGATTCGATAGGCCAATGGACGTTAGAGAACAGTCTGGAAATGTGCAGTGGGACTGGGCTTGCCCTCTGGCCTTTCTGTCACCGCCTTGACACATGCTCCTCCAGATCTGGGCCCACGAGACACAAGTGAAATGAAATAAATGATTGTTACATGGTATGAAGACTTTGTGGCTGCAAATTATCTTGGAGCAGAAAATCACCATACTTGGAATCAATTAGCACTGATGATATTAAAGCACTTGTTCTCAAACGCAAACTTTAAAACTCTTTGGGGTTAAAAAAACTCCCTCCCCTACAAAAAAGTATGTTGTATAATTCAGTATAATTAGACTACAGAGAAGAAAAATACCCATTTTATCAGGAACCTCAGGTAACTAACTGTTGTAGTGTCCAAAATGAAGATAACTAAAATTGCAGTTACTTGACAAAATTCACTAAGCACTCAGTAACGCTAGAGATGATTCTCTCACTTTAGACAATTATACCTGAAGAGATGTAAAACCGAAATATAGACAAGAAAATTATTTCAATTGTATTACAAAGCTGACCCTTAAGCAAGCCTGAATTGCCTAATTAAAGCTAGCAGCACATTTAATTTATTAAAATAATTTATTTACTCTGATTAATTCTTGGACTCCTTAATTCTAAGAATAGTTGGTATGCACAAAATTGGAATTTTTTTTTTTTTTTAGAAAATTATCTAGTAAACCAGACTTGGTGGCTCCAATCTGTAATCCCTGCACTTGGGAAGCTGAGGCAGGAGTATCAGTATGGACAAAAGCTTGAATCCAACCTAGACCTCACAGAGTTGCAGGACACACTGCCACAAACACCGCCACCAACAAAGATGACAAAGATCCCGAAGAATGGCACAGCATCTTAGTCTGCACTATTTTTTTCCCACTCAGGTGCACTAATCACACCTACCAGTCACATCAACTCATCCACAGACACCACATCTACACAGACACGCCCTAGTCCCTTGACACCTGATGGAGCCGCACTACTAGTCAATCCACTATCGGGCAAAGCTGTTGGGTTTTGGTTGGCTGGTTGTTTTTTTTGCTTTGCTTTTTTTGTTTTGTTTTGTTTTTGTTTGTTTTTCTGTGACAGGGTTTCTCTATGTAGCCCTGGCTAGATAGAACTCACTAGGTAGACCAGGCTGACCTCGAACTCACAGAGATCCACCTGTTAGACAAAGTTTTTACACATTCAGAACCATGGTAGTACATGATCAGTACCTGGACCATCATTTTTTAAACATCCAAATCTCATGTTCCAGTCACAGGGAAAAGAAGTTGTTGCTGGCTCTACTGCTGTTAGCACTGAGGAGGTGGGAAAGGATGAGGCTATAATCCTGGCTCCAAGTTACTGTGATGAGTTACTTAAAATTCTGTACTTAATTCTCTCTCTCTCTCTCTCTCTCTCTCTCTCTCTCTCTCTCTCTCTCTCTCTGTAAGAGGGAAATAATAAAAACCTAGGATACAGAATTGTCAGGAGGATCAGAGGAGAAAATATATGTAAAGCTCTTTTAATAGTTGCCGGTGCATAGCAAGTACTCTGTAAACACCAGCTATTACAGCTCTGAAATCCAGCTTCAAAAATGCCATCATCTGGGACTATAACATGGGAAAGAAAAAAGAGAGAGAGACCAAAATCCCTTTTATACAAGGATTCTTTAAATATAACCCTTTTTAAAACAGGACAAAATTCATTTACCAAATATAAATTATTTTAAAATCAATGTTATTTTTCTCTGATTTTTATTGGTTCTGGTCACAGAATGATGAGCACAACACTATGAGAATTTGCATTCTAAAAAGGTCAAATAATTTAAAAAAAAACAAAATGTTCTTATATTTTTGCTTGCAGAATGACTGCTTACGTGTCAAGGCCATTTTTACTCTTTTCATATTTTACAGGAACCACATGACTTGTGGCTAGAGATTTAAACAGCTAACAAAGAAATTTAGAGAAAAACTGTTCAGTTTTGCTTCAAAAAGAACTGAAATGATCAAAAATATTAAAACATCAAGTTTCAAGGTGTAATCAAGTCAGATCTTCCAATGATTTTTAACACTACATAGACTTACTATTTAAAAATACTAGATATAATGAGCTGGAGAGATGGCTCAGTCATTAAAAGCTAAGCTCACAATCAAAACTATAAAATACTAAATATTAATCTACATCAGACAAGAGTATCAGGTTCACAAAAGAAAAATTCAAATTTGCTTTCAGTATTTCCCCAGGACAGACCTTTAAAATGAAAATTAAACAAGTAACCTGTGTGTCTATTACAACAATGAAAATTTTATTTAATGTGAAAATTACTTTTAAAAAATTGGAAAACTATTACTTTGTCTACTCATTTTTAAATGCATACTTCATGTGACTAATTTAAGAATTCATTCCTCAATTTTTCTAAAAGCAAAGCACGAAAACTGTTGCTTGAAAATGACTGCAATGTGAAAAATGAGTTGTTTTTTTCTCAAGGCGACTGACAATTAAAAAGGAAATGGCCAAAGGAAAGGGGAGTACCGTTTCCTTTCACACGTTAGTAAATGTCAAAGAACTTTCAGGAGTCAAATCTCCTAGAAGTCTGCTGCGAGGTCAAAGTTGTCTCAATGACAGGAAAGCCAACAGACGCCAGATGACTAATAGTAAAGTTATCAAAACACTTGTGTGCCCAGCAGTAATTCCAAAAGCATACAAAGTACAAACGTCCAGGAAGAAAAGACAGAGAATAGTTAAGATTCTTGGGAGCAACACAGTATTAATGACGACAGCAACAAGCAGTATTATACAATGTATCAAGATTCTCACACTCTGGCTTCCCCAACATGCATTCTATTCATCAGGTAACATTTCTAAATAACGAAAAGTAACCTGGATTCCCAAAGAGTGATCTAAACGTAAAAATAAGGTTCAATCAAGTGCGTGTTTAGTTCTTTTTATTGTAAACCAAATCTGCTTCTTTACATTAAAAAAAAAAAATACCAGCTCTGTCTCCAAAATCTTCTAATAGACACAGTTCACTAGCGATTAAAATATTATTTTTAATCCTTGCATTACCTCACAGCTAAAAATGTCAAGATACCACACCCAATATGTCTTTCCCCCCCCCCTCCCGTGGGGGAGGGGTCAGGGAATACGGGAGTGGGGACGCGAAACTACAGGAAAACACTGAAGGTGATTTCCCTGGCAGGTTCCTCCACCGGGATCCGAGCGCACACGTTGAGAAGGGCGAGCACAGGCCTCGGCCTCTGCAGGCTCCCTCCCTCGCCACCCGCTGGGGGTAGGAGCCCGGACGCGCCACCCAGGGCTACTCACCAGCCGTAGTGCTGACCAGCAGGGCAGCCCACAGTAGCCAGGGCACCCGACAGGGTCTCTGCAGCGAGGAAGTCATCCCTGGGCCAGTCGAGAAGCAGGAGGGCAAAGAAAAGAAATCTGGAAAGTATATTCGGGCGGAGAAATCCGGCCAGGAGGCTGCTCGTCCCTCCGTGCCCGGATTACAATGCAGTTTGAAAGGACAAATGGCAGATGCGAGGACCTAGATGGAGAGCTCTCATTCCACTGCAGAATTTCCCTTCATCTCGCTCCCTCGTGGCTGGGGGGCTTCATTCGCCTAGGACGGGGTGCCTCGGCTCCCCCAACTGAAGGCATGTCCGTGGGGACGAAGCAGGGAGAGCCCCAGAAGAAATCCCCGCAATTATTTCCCTCGTAGTTTCACGATATCAAAAAAATACCCAGATCTGGGAGAAAACATATCCAGAGTGCCGGGGGGTGGGGGGGGTGGGGGTAGGAATGGAGGGCGGGGACTCGATGGGGGGGTCCACGGAGGCTTCAGAACAAGTTCCCCACCGCCGGGAAGGGCGAAGCGGGGCAGGCAGCGGCGCCCGGCCGCCGGAGTCGCATCGCTCGGGACTGGCGGAGGACAGAGGCCGGGGGTTCCTGGCAAAGTTTCGCTTCGTCGTCGCGGCCGCCCTCACTCGGATTTCGACAGCCCCCAATCCTCACCGCCGACTGGGGTCGAGAAAGGTGGCCCCCGCCTCCATGGGGCGAGCCCCACCAGCTTCCTGGCGACGATCGCGCTCCGAGGGTCGCGCAGGCCCCGGGCCTCCGGGGGCCGCGGGGGAGGGGAGGAGGGGAGGAGGGTCGCGGCGGCCCCGGCTCGCCCCGGCTCGCCCCGGGCTCGCCCCGGAGCGCGGCACGCGGGGTGGTGCGGGGCTGGTCCCGGGGCTGGCCCCGGAGCCGCCTCGCTCTCGGCTTATTCCGGCCGCTCGCACTCGCCTGCAGTCAGTTGCACCGTGGAAGCGCGGTCTCCTTCCCGTCGATGGCTCGGGAGGGAGCGAAGCACACACGGCAGCAACACCGGAGGAAGCCGCTGCCGCTGCCGCTGCTGCCGCCGCCGCCGCCGCCGCCGCCTGGTTCTCCGCAGCTCTGGGCTCCGGGCGGAGCTCGGGCGTCGCGGGCCGAGGGCGGGGGGCGGCGGGAAGACGACGGACGTAGGTGGCCGAGGAAGGGGGTGGGCAGCCGAGCTTGCGAAACGCCCCCCCCGGACGCCCCTCCGTAGGGTGTGTGTGTGGGGAGGGGGGGGGAGGCCCCTCCAGCGGCTCCGCGCAGACCAGACACAAAGGGGGGAGTCGCCGCAGCTGCCAGTCTGAGGCGCTCCCGGTCACCGGAGTCGCCCCGCCTCCTCCGCCGCCTCCGCCTCCGCCTCCTCCTCCTCCTCTCAGTCTCCGGCTCGCCCGCTCGCTCGCTCGCTCGCTCTCTCTCTCTCTGCCCGAGCCCTGTCTGTCTGTCTCGGGCCTGTGGTGCAGCGCGGGCGGCGGGCGGCGGCGGCGGCGGCGGCTCCTCCAGAGAGACGCACTGCGCCTGCGCGGCCCCGCCCGGCCCCGCCCCTCGCTCCCAGGCTCGCCCCGAGAGCCAGGCCCCAGCCAGGCTCGGCGTCTGCTTCTCGCCGGCTCCCGCGGCCCCGGGTAGGGTGGGGCGGGACGGACGGACGGACGGACGGCGTGGGGCGGGCAGCCCAGGGTCCCTCTGCTCGCACGCGCGGACCTTCCGCACGTGGATGGCGCGGCGATCCTCCGCGCGAGCGTGGAGGAGCGGGCGGCCCCATCTTGGTGGCGTTCACGTTGGCCCACCTGGCTGCTACCCGGGGATCGGGGTTGTTTTTTTTTTTAAAAGCCTCGAGGACGGCCCGCCGCTCTTGTTCGTTCGCAGCGGCGGGCGCTGCCTCCTCGGTTTCCCGGCCCCAGCCGCCTTTCCCGGGAAGCCGATCTGGGTCGGGTTCCCCTCCCCGGGCGGCGTGCAAACAAAAGCCTCAGCCTCAGTGGTGAAGACCGCGACCGGGTCGGCCTTTCCCCGAGCGGCCGTCCCCGCGGCCGCCTTCGATGGCAAGGCTGCTGGCTGGCTGAGCGACTGCGAGGATGGGAAAACCGGATGGGAAAACCGGCGAGGAAACTTAAAACCGGCCTCGCACCTCTCCCCGGGAGGGCCATAGTCACGAAGGCTGCAGGGGCTTTGCAGGGCTTGGCAGGGCCTGTGCGAGGAAAACTGCAGAGTTGCTGGCTCCGGGGATGGAGCGGGATCCTGTCTCCTCACTCAACCTTGGCAGAAGGGCTCGCCGGCACCGCAGTTCCCTGGGACCGCTTTAATTTTTTTTCTTCTTCTTCTTCTTCTTCTTTTTAATCTCAATTTGGTTGGACTCAGGCAGCCAGGATAGGGGAGGGCACTGTGACTCTCCCCTGCGGGGTCAGCCGACTTGGGTGGGATTTCGCTATAGGGGAGAGGGGAGAAGGTGACGTGCTTGGCGCCATGATCGGAAGTCTGGGTTTAATTCTTTAACGGCGAGGTGGAAAAATTGCGTGGGAGGGCGATCCTAAGAGATGAAGTCTAGCCCTCCCTTCTCCCGGTAGGCAGAAAGGTGGTTCTCCAGGCTGGTTTTGCCGGTCTTTCCTTGTGGCTAAAGGCTGTTCCAGGATACAGTATAAATACACTCCTGAAGTCTTACTGTTCCCTTGCTTATCCAAGTCTTTTATCTCTTTATCTGAACGTGATGTTAATAAATCACATTCCTTAAACTGGTTTCTGTTATCATAGTAAATATCTGCTATAATTAAGAGTTGTGGTAATACCTGCCCAGGGCTCTTTTTTTAGCTGAAATATTTTTATACTGTTTATCCTTCAGGCAGAGAGCATTTTTTTCTTCTATGTAATAAAATCCCTTTTGAAAAATAAGGAGCATATTCATTGACTCTTTAGCTTTACTACCTCATTTTGCTTTGCCTGAAAGGCCTAAAATATGGAACTGGCATTGTTTTAACATTTTGCTTTCAAGACATGAGATCTAGTTCTTCAGAGAAACGACAGATGTTGAAGATGCAGGAAGTTTATTAGCTGGTGAAATATAATTTTTCTTCCTCGAATTGAGGTCAAGTACTTTATTATTCAATTATTATTTGCATAAAATTTTCCTAAGAAATATTAAGTGCCCTTGTGCATGTTAGAAATGTGTAATAAATTATGTAGGAAAGAAGTCTTAGGAAATTCCTGTGGAAAAAGTTCATGCCACTGACTTAGTGGGAATAATTAATCAGTAGACCTCAATATGCAGCCCTTGTTCCTTTTCTGTTGGCCTTACAGTCAGTATCTGAGTTGAGAGGTGACTATTCACAGTGAGAAGGGACATGTAGAAGAATTAAAACTTAGCCATGACTTAATCTACTACAGAAGACCGGCAATACAAGTCTAACGGGTAAGAACAGAACTGATAGGTCAGTAAGGTCTGGTATCTCATGATCAGGATGGGCGAGGTGTAGCTAGAGTTTTCCTGGTCCTGCCTGGCCCACAATTAGGACAAATCTCTCTCACCTCCCGTCGCTGCTCAGACCCAACCAAGTAAACACACAGAGACTCATATTACTTATAAACTGTATGTCTGTGGCAGGCTTCTTACTAACTCTTCTATCTTAAATCAACTCATTTCTATTAATCTATAAGTTGCCACATGGTTCATGGCTTACCGGTATCTTAACATCTACTTATCGTGGTGGCTGGGAGCGTCTCTCTGCCTCAGCCTTCCACTTCCCAGAACTCTCCTCCTCCTTGTCCCGCCTACCCTATCCTTCCTGCCTGGCTATTGGCCAATCAGCGTTTTATTTATCAATCAATCATAGCAACATAGATTTACAGCATACAGGCCATCCCACAGCAGCGAGGTTATAATAACATCCCACAGATCTTGTTAGCGTATCGAGACAAATATGTATTTACCCTGTTTTGTGTTTGGTAGACGCCTTAGTTGCAAATGAAGCTTCAGCCAATCTGCAGGGGCTCTGGAATGGGGGGAGGGGGGGCTTTTCAGTGTTGTCCTAAAATGTGGCTGGACACCAGATCTCTATCAACCAGTTGTTGTATAGAGACCGCACGGAGGGATGGAAGGTGACCTTAAGTCAAGAATAACCAACCCTCAAGGGAGGATCCACCTGAGAACTGTCAGTTACCAGGGCTTCTTCCAGTGTTTGGCGAAAGTGTGTCATGTGATCTACGGAACTCAGCATAGCGTGCTTTTCAGGGACTACTCACTGCAGTCACGGAGGTCCCTGGATTGCAGGATGCTTCCCTAAGACGTAGGCTTTCAAGATTGCCAGAGTAGGGGTCATAAAATTTAATTGCTAGATGTTCAATGTCTTGCTCTGGCTGTTTTAAAAAAAAAAAAATTTTTTTTAAAAAAGATCTTCCACCAGAAGCAATGCTCATTCACATTTTATTAGCCAGTGAAGTCCCGTGGCCAAGTCTAACATCAAAAGAATTGGAATTTAGAATCCTACTACATTACTAGAAGAAGACCCTGAGTACGCTTTAGCGTCATCCTCACATTCAAGGCCCCAGTACTCCACTTTCTAAAAGCCCAACAAGTAAGAACACATCCTAAAATACAGGAATGACTTGGAGGTAAGGAACCCAGGAACAAGGGGAAACAACGTAGAAATCCAGTAGCCAGACCAACACCATCTGAAAAATGCATTGTATATTATGTTCCTTCATGGAGTCTGTCTTTCCTTTGAACTAGAGAACCGAGAACAGGGTTGGGGATTTAGCTCAGTGGTAGAGCGCTTGCTTGCCTAGCAAGCGCAAGGCCCTGGGTTCGGTTCTCAGCTCCAGAAGAAAAAAAAAAGAGCGAGAGAGAGAAAACCGAGAACAAAGCAAGACCCCAGGATCAGGAGGGGACATTAGTTTTGAGGTTTTTTTTTTTTTTTTTTTTGGTTTTTCGAGACAGGGTTTCTCTGTGTAGCTTTGCGCCTCTCCTGGAACTCACTTGGTAGCCCAGGCTGGCCTCGAACTCACAGAGATCCGCCTGGCTCTGCCTCCCGAGTGCTGGGATTAAAGGCGTGCGCCACCACCGCCCGGCTAGTTTTGAGGTTTTACTTGAGATGGTCTCCATATACTGCCCTGGCTGCTTTGAACCTGCCATTGCCTCTTCAATGCTGTGATTATAGGTACAAGCCAACTGACCTGTCTTAAACAGATTATTAGGACTAGAACTGCAGCAAAGTCCATGGAGAGTTCCTGTTTTACCAGTGAAGGCACGTAGGAGTTGCCTGAGCTCAGAAATACTGAATTCTAAGAATCAACCTTGTGATCATTTTTTTTTTTTTTTTGGAAAACTTAACTCGAGCAGCAAAACAAGGCAGATATCGCATGGTTGGCACGGAGATAGCTATCCAGAATAACAG